GTAAGGTGATGTCTGACGGGTGCCTCTAAATATGTGTAGTCCTTGGATAGTGTTTTTTTCGGGCCTCGTCTTTCACCTCCCTCCCCCGCCTCCACAAGTGGGCGGGGTGGGGGGCGCTCGTGAGGGGACGGGGGGGGGTCTGTGCGAAGGTGGTGCCGCTCCGGATGCAACTTCGTTTCATGTGTGTGTGTGTGTGTGTGTTTCCATCTCAAGCTCTCCCTCCCTCCTCTCCCGCTTTCGCCTTGTTTACTTGTCTTGGGGACTTGGGATGGTGCGGGCCAGCGCGCATGTCGCGTCCAGCCCCGAGGTCCGCCCACCAGCGAAAAATGTTCGCCTCCACGGCGCGTGTGAGGCCTCAGTGCTTCGAGGAAAAGTGTTTGTGCTATTTTATGCTGGCGCCACCTTCCGCCGTCCCCTGCTCGCGTAAGGTGATGTCTGACGGGTGCGTCTAAACTGTTGTTTCCCTCTGGCGATGGCCCAACCCACCCCAGCTTCTCTGGCGGGGGATGGGCGGGGTCGCTGCTGCCAACCAGCACGGTGAAGTGAGGCGATGCGATGCTTGCGCCTCCCTCCAATCCCCCCCTTCCGTACCTCTTTCGCCCAGCCCAGCTCTTCTGGCTCGTTCTGGCTTGCCGCGTGGCAGAGGAGCGTGGGTGGGGGTGGGGGCGGGGTGGCGGTGGTGCGGGGTCCAGGGAGGTATGGAAGGTAGTCGTCTAGTTTCTCCGCCCGGCGCTTTTCTGCCGCCGGCTCCGGCCCTCTGTTGGCCCGGGCCTCCTGAGGCTGCGGCGGCTGGGATGGGTGCGGCTAGCAGGGGCTCAGGATGGGAACGGATCCGGCAGTCGCCGCCTACCACGCAGGCAGACCGCGGTATGTTTACATGGACTGGCTGGATGATTCTGGGGAGTTCCCTCTCAGTATCTGTGCGCTTCGCAAGAGCCACCTTTAGAGTGTTGGTGTCCCTTGTTTCCTGGCTGGCTCCTCTGAGCGGGAGGCCGCTTGGGGAGGGGCCCCCACCCTCAATTCACTCGAGGTGCCCCCTCGGGGGCTGGGCGCGGAGGCTGAGGGAATTCAGCCGAAGAAGGCCTCCCTTCCCGGCTGCTCGTCGTTGTCCCCGCAGCACCGATTCACAGCCAACGGAGGGCGCCAACCAACACCTCCCCCTCCTTCTTCTCCTCCATACCTTTTCTTTATCAGAAATTTCTCCCCGTCGCACTCCGAGGCCAGTTTTTGGGTGGGCCGGGCGTCTCGCCTGAGACATCCTCACCACTAATGATTCTGAAGCTTCAACATTGGCAACAGTTCCACAGTTGGAGGGTGGGTCGTTTTCAAAATGTGGCTCTCGCCTTAGCGCGGCGCACAGTTGAAGCAAATAGCAAGAATTTCAAGGATGGCGGGCGGGTGGTTTTCAAAATGTGGCTCTCGTGTTAGCGCGGTGCACATTTGTTTTAAACATTTGCAAGAGTTTCACGGATTGAGGGCGGGTGGTTTACAACATGTGACTGTCGCCTTACCGCGGCGCGCATTGTTCAACAAAATTGCAAGAGCTTCACAGATTGAGGGCGAGTGGTTTTCAAAATGTGGCTCTCGCTTCAGCGCGGCGCACATGTGTTAAACAATTTGAAAGAGCGCGTTCTGTGGTCGCTTGGAGGGGGGGGGGGTGGAACTGGACCCCCCCCCCGGGATGGAGAGGGGGGGGGTTCGAACCCCCCCCTTACTTCTCCTCTCTTCCTCTCCTCGGCTGGCGGCGGCGGCGGGGACGACGATTTCTGGGCCGGCGCCAGCGCCTGCGGCGGCGGGCGGCGGTGGCGGGGAGCGTCGACGAGGACGGTGGTGGTGGTGGTGGTGGTGGTGTTGTGGTGGCGGCGGTGGTGGTGGCGGTGGTGGTGGTTGTGGTGGTGGTGTGGTGGTTTGTTGTGGTGGTGGTGGTGGTTGTGGTGGTGGGTGGTAGTGGTGGCGGTGGTGTGGTGGTGGTGCGGTGGTGGTTTGTGGTGGTGGTGGTGGGTTGTGTTGGTGGAGGTGGTGGTTTGGTGGTGGTGTGGTGGTGGCTTGTGGTGGTGGTGGTGGTGGTGGATTGTGGTGGTGGCGGTGATTTGTGGAGGTGGTGCTGGGGGTGGTGCTGGTGGTGGTGGTGGTGGCGGTGGTGGTGGTGGTGGTGGTGGTGGTGGTGGTGTGGTGGTTTGGTGGTGGTGGGTTGTGCTGCTGGTAGTGGTGGTGGTTGTGGCGGTGGTGGTGGTGGCGTGGTAGATCGGTGGTGGTGATGGTAGTGGTGGTGGGTTTTTGTGGTGGTGGTGGTGGTGATGATGAGTTGTGGTAGTGGTGGTGGCTGTGGTGGTGGTGGTGGTTGTGTGGTGGGTTGGTGGTGGTGGTGGTGGTGGGTTGAGGTGGTGATGGTGGTTGTAGTGGTGGTGGTGGTAGTGGTCGCTGCGTCCCCGCCGTCGCCGGCGCCAGCGCCGGCGCTGCTGGCCGCCGCCAGCGCTGGCGCCAGCGCCACGGGGGGTGGGTTTGAACCCCCCCCCTCGGCGCAAGGGGCGGGGGGTGTGGGGGGTTTCAAACCCCCCCCCGCCCTGGGCTGCCTCTGGTCATCGTCGCTGCGTCCCCGCCGTCGCCGGCGCCAGCGCCGGCGCTGCTGGCCGCCGCCAGCGCCGGCGCCACGGGGGGGGGGTTGAACCCCCCCCCTCGGCGCAAGGGGCGGGGGGGGGTGGGGGGTTTCAAACCCCCCCCCGCCCTGGGCTGCGTCTGGTCATCGTCGCTGCGTCCCCGCCGTCGCCGGCGCCAGCGCCGGCGCTGCTGGCCGCCGCCAGCGCCGGCGCCCGCGCCACGGGGGGGGGGTTGAACCCCCCCCCTCGGCGCAAGGGGCGGAGGGGGTGTGGGGTTTCAACCCCCCCCGCCCTGGGCTGCGTCTGGTCATCGTCGCTGTGTCCCCGCCGTCGGTGCTGTTGGCGGCCGCCGGCGCCGACGCCGGGGAGGGGGTTCGGGAGGGCGGGGTCTTGGGGGGGAGGAGAATCCCGTTTGTTTTGTTGGGGGGGGCCCACCCCCCGGTTCGAAACGCGCCGCCGAATGTTCCCAAGGCAAGCGCCCGTGAAACGCGTTCTCTTAACAATTGGAAAGAGTTTCGCGGATTGAGGGTGGTTCCTTTTCAAAATGTGGCACTCGCTTTTGTGCCGCGCGCACTCGTTTGTAACGTTTCCAAAAGTTTCACAGTTTCCCATCATCAACGTACCAGAAATCATGTTTTCGAAAGGTTCAGGATTATGCGGGTGCAACAGTTGCGTTGATTTTTTGTGCTAAAGTCCCAGGAATGGCGTTCTGGCGCGATTCAGGATCGTCAAGACGCAACAATCAGGTTGATCCGTGGCGTTGGAATCCCGAGAAAAATGTTTCGGTATGCTTCAGGGTCTTCAAACGGGTGTCTTCCAACGAGGCAGCTCCATCAATGGAAATGAACCCTTGTGGGGGTCTATAAAGAGGGAGCTCGGATGGAGGGTTTGCTCCAACATTGTTGATGATTCTCTTGTGTTTACATTGGTCCTCCTCCTCCTCGTCCTCCTGCTCCTCCTCCTCTCCCTCCTCCTCCCTGCCTTTCCTCCTCCTGTCCCTCCTGTCCTGCTGCTGCTGCTGCTGCTGCTGCTGCTGCTGCTGCTGCTGCTCCTCCTCCTCCTCCTCCCCCATTCTTTGTCCCTGTAAATAACTCCTCCTTGTCGCACCCCGAGGCCAGTCGAACGGGCGGACTGGGGGTTCTGCCTGGTTTTTTTCGCTATTTATGATCCTCAAGCTTCACATTTGCAGCATTTTCGCGGATGGAGGACGGGTCGTTTTCAAAAGGAGTCTCTCGCCTTAGCGCGCACACTCTTTTTAAAGCTCGCAAGAGCTTCACGGGTGGAGGGCGGGTCGTTTTCAAAATGTGTTTCTCGCCCTAGCAGTGCACACAATGGCCTTGTTGCACGAGCCTCAAGGATGGAGGGCGGGTGGTTTTCAAAAAGTTGCTCTCGCCGTCGCGCCGCGCACGTTCTTGGTTTCATTCTAGAAGGAACAGCAGCTTCGCGGATGGAGAGCGTTTTTTTTAGCATGTGGCGCTCGCGTTAGCGCCGCGCACATTCGTTTCAAGAGTTTACAACAAATTCAAGGGTTCTCATGGCTAGAGTAGCAGAAGCCACGTTTTGCGCACGATGTCGGATTGTCCGGGCGCAGCAGTTGCATAGATTCGCGGTGTTGAAGTCCCAGGAGCGACGATCTGGCACGATTCAGGATCGTCCAGACGCAGCAGTTACGGTGAGTCGTGGCGTTGAAGCCCCAGGAATGGTGTTCTGGCGCGGTTCAGGATTTTTCAAGATGTTGTCATCCAGCGGGGTGCTTTCCTCACTGAAGATGAACCCTCGTAGGGGCCTACGGGGAGGGAGCTTGGAAGGAGGGCTTTTTGGAATATTGTTCATGGGTCTTGGCTTTACACTGGTCCTCCTCCTCTTCCTCCTCCTCCTCTTCCTCCTCCTCCTCCTCGTATTCCTCCTACCCTTCTTCCTCCAAATCCCCTCCACCCGTTCCGACAGCACGTGCCCAGACCCCCTGCGTATCGAGGGGGGGCGATTGTTGTCCCATCGAGAGCAGAGGGGGTGATGGGCCTAGGAGAAAAAGGTGCCGCTAGCGCTATCCTTGTGGGAGGCCGCGCCGCCACTGCTGGATTCGCCTTGCAATTCCGGCCAGACCGCGGCCCAGAGAGGTCTCTATCGGGAGTAGCGGCATCGGTGTCCTCCCTGTTTCGTCAGGGGACCGCTCGGGGGGGATGGGCCCGGGGGGGATGCGTCGACCCCTGATCGCCCACACATCGCCGATGAGGGCTCCGATGGCCCACCTTTCGCCCCAGGAGCGTGCGGAGTCGTTTCTGAGTCACGGAGCTTACTCGTGGCCGAGGCTCGCTGTGGGCGGCAAGAAAACCCTTCGTTCCTTACTCGATTGCCGATTCTCTGTCTCCCTCCCGTCCGTGCGGTGTCGCCGAAGAAGCCGAGGTCCTGCAGGACAGTCTGGGGGGAAACTCGCTCTGCACCATGGTGGCCACGATCGGGCCAGGGGCCGGGAACGTCGAGGAGACGCTGTCCACGCTGAACTACGCGAAGCGCGCTAAGGCGGTCATTTCGTCCACCTTTCTCTGTCCCTGTGCCCCTCTGCGTCTGTCTTGGTCTCCGTGCCATTGTTTTTTGTTTTTCGCTACCCGCCTTTGCTTTTTTGTCCTTCTCTATCTCTGTCTCTCTTTCTCTTTGTTACCTGCGACAGCAGCGGAGGCTCAGGCAGGCTGCGTGGTGCCCCAGGGGGTGCTCGCAGGCATCGCGCAGGCCCCTCCAGCCGGCGTCGCGCGGCGCCTGCCCGACCTGCTCAGCAGAAGCGCTCTCGGGAGGCCCAACGCACTTCAGGATATCGAGGATCTCCCTCTACGGGCAACCCGCATAGTAAGGATGAGCATTTTGTCCGAGGTTACCCTTGCATCCTTCCCCTTCGGCCCATCCTTGGCCGCCTTCGCTGGCCGCGCCCCGCTCGCAAAGCGCCGACATGGCCTTCCAAGGCCCTTGCAGCCGCACCGTGCGTCCTAGTTCTACGGATTGACTGCACGTTGCTTGCACTGTGGAACGGTGGAAGGTAGGAGTGCGTTCGTATTGTATTTGAATCCCCTCGCGGGCCCCCCCGACCTCTGGCGCACTCGGGGGCCCCGGGCTCCCAATCTTCCCCCAGGGCTCCTCCCTCCTCCCTGGGCTCCCTGGGCTCCCTGGGCTCCCTGGGCTCCTCCTCCTTCTCCTCGTCCTCGTCCTGGTTCTCCTGGCCGTTCTGGGTCTTCTTGTCCTGGTCCTAGTTCTCCTCGCCGTTCTGGATCTTCTCCTCCTCCTTCTCCTCCTCCTTGTCCTCCTCCTCCCCCTCCTCCTCCTCCTCCTCCTCCTCCTCCTCCTCCTTTTCCTCCCTTTCCTCCTCCTCTGGTGGCCCCTGGGCCCGAGAACGTTTGTTTCATGATAGCTTGCCTCATCAGCCTTCGGAGGTTATCCCCTTTTGGTGAGAGCCCTGTTGGGGCCTGATTTGCCCAGCGCTTATGAGGACACGCTGGGGCGGACAAATCCTGCCTCCCCTGTCACAGAGCAGAGTAGGATAGCAGTAGCATCAGCACGAGTACACGGAGAGTAGAGCGGACACGTTAGGTAGGCAGCAGTGCAGCAGGTAGTGCAGTAGTCATGTTGATGCCAGTGGTACGTTCCACTGCCGCTTTGGCTCAAGACGCGTGCTCTCCGCCACAAGGCGAGGAGCGTGAGAAGCCCAGCATTGCGGCAGCGCTGTCATAAAGCAAGCGTTCCCTTCACCGTCACAATCTCCATACTTGAGCCTTTCCTATTACTTCCACTCTCCACCCCAAGACGGCCACAATGGAAGACAGTTATGCAGTATTGCCCAGTCCACCGTAGACCCCCAGAGAGATCAGGTAACATCGACATGACATTGGCACTCCGGGGCAGTGGCCCCAGTCCTGCCCAGGATTAACACACGCGGGTTATGAGCCCAAATCGTATGGTGCTACCTGCCCCGGATCGGGCGATACTGCACGGATTTACCATGACATGCCAGGTGTGCCAACACCCAGCGACTGAGCCAGCCACCTGCTCTAAGTGCGGAAAGCTCGGGCATGCCTAATGTCTTGGTCTGGAATTCTTCCAGCACTGCCCCTTCTGCCAGGGCTGCATCTTTGACATCACCCGGGAGTGCTCAGACTACACTGCGCACGTACGACGGCAGGAGTGGCAGAAGATCTACGTCCAGCGGCTGGCGTTGTGGAACGACAGGGCCACTGCGGCAACGGGTGCTTCCGCAGCGGTGGGCACCGCGATCAGAGTTTCACTGCAGCGCTAGTAGTAGGTGGCACGGTTACGTTGGCGAGGGGCGTGGTTGCAGGAGCCATGAGCACCACCGCGCCCGACCACACTCCGACTCTTTGTGACCAGCCCTCACAGCCAGCAGTACAAGCACCTCCACCAGCACACCCTGAGCCAAGACCTTCCAGCAACGGGCCAGCTCCGTGGGGAGGACGATGAGCGGTGGTGGTCATTGCCTGGCCTGCCACACTGCCAACGAGGGCCACACGGCCCACATACGGAAGGGCGATTGCGTAGGTTTCCTTGGGATGTCCTACTTTGGTAAGGCAAAACGCTTCGGGAAGTTAGGCCTCGCGCCAGTCGCCGGATCGGCACCCGCACTGGCCCCGGCGGGATTGGCACCCGCAGCGGGATCGGCACCCGCAATAGTTCCAGCGGGATCGGCGCCCGCAGCGGGATCGGCACCCTCGCTAGGGGGGACACCAGGGGAAGGAGGAGACAGAGAAGCAGCTTGGTATCACTAGCGGCGCGTCGTTCGCGAGCGCCGAAGACGTCCGACCGACCTCGCCCCCTGGGGCAACGAACGCGCAACCACCCGTCCAATCCACGCCTCTCGGGCCCATGGGCTCCACCGCTGGACCCAGCCTGGCCGCCGACGGGAGCAATGATCGCCATCCAGATCCTCATCATCGTCTTCAGCATTTTTTGTTTTTGATTAATGTTTTGACAGACAACGGCATCATCCTGCAGACTATTCATGAGAAGGTTGACAAGCTGGAGCTTGCGGTGTCCCGAGCCCGCCTCAGCACGGAGCCGTTCAGAAGCCCTAGTGTCGAGGCTGGATTTTATCGAGGCGGCTGTGAACAGTTGGAACGAATAGCCATGGGAAAACGAGGACCAACACCTACGATAACCTGGAATGTATATTCCGGAGGCTGGACCTCAGTCGTTCGCGCTTGGAGCGGCGGGATCTTCGCCCGCGGTAGCTCCAGTGGGGTCTACGCCAACTGTGGGATTGGCGCCCGCACCAGCCCTAGCGGGATCGGTGCCCGCAGCGGGCTTGGTACCCGCAGGGCTTGAGCAACACAGCCTTGCGGACGGCACCACGCCGCCCGGCGGAGGCACGCCTAGGTAGGAGGTTGCGGACGACGGAAGCTGGTGGGCCGAAGATAGATCGCAGTCAAGGACAGACGGGGCACCGCCCGCTCGAAGCCCGGAGCAGCAGCCACAACAGCAGTTGCAGCAGTTTCGAGTCGTGTCCGGAAATGGGGGCTCGGGCCGACGCAGTCTCCAAGATGCGACGGGGAGACAGAGCCAGGGTCTTCCAAGCTTCGGGGATCCTTCTTCCCATGGATCGTCAAAGTCACAGATGATGGTCCAAGGAGCTCTCAGCAATCACGTGCACGCTGGGGGGCGCGCGGCCTCATTCGGAGACGAAGTAAGAGTAAGGGGAGCCCGCAATTCAGGTATCGACATCCCCCCTGGATTCGCGCCCGCGTCAAATCCCCTGCCCAGGGCGACGGGCACCGTGCCTGGGGCGGCGGCGGCGGGACACGGGAACGCAGTGGAGGCCGAGAACACGGCGATTCAGGCGCAGCACTTGATGCACCTCAGTGGCGCTTCGCTCCACGAAGTGGTGCCCAGAAGCTTCGATGACGTGTTCTTGTGCTGTGACGGTAGTGCTGTTCGAGAGCCCCCTGGAAGCGGTGGCCAACGCCCAGGTCCAGGCTCCTCTAGCGGCTGCGCCGGCCCATCGATTGATGCTGGTCGGGGCATGCAGCTCGACGGGGCTCGTCAGAGCTCTCAGTTGCAAGGGTCGGAGCATGCTCTTTCAACAGCTGAACATGAACATGATCCTGAAATCTCTACAATCCTGTGTAGGAGAATTCCAGGAGATAGTTCTGGGAAGTTCCGCTGAACGAGCCGAGCAGCTCCAAAAGTGGAAGTATGTAGCGGGTCAGGCCCTGGAGACCGGCGGACCTCACAACAACTTGCGGGGGAGTTCAACTATTTAGCAACCAGAACGAGACCAGATCTCGCATACTTTGTCAGCCTGTTGGCACACACACACTTTCTAAATACAACGCCTGGTCTCAACAGATCGCTAAGAAAATTCTCCGGTACATCCATCAGACCAAGCACCGCGTCTTGACTTTGAGGAAGACCGGCGACATCCAGGACCTGAAAGGTTGGAGCGACGCCGGCTACGGAGGTCCAGGGACCAAGGCCCAGAGCGGGATGATCCCGGTGTGGGGCGGGTTCGCTATTCTGTGGAGGTCCAGCAGACAGACAGTCTCCAGCTTCAGCGCTGTGGAGGCGGAGCTGGGCGCTGCCGCTTTGATTTGAACTCCCGTGCGTTGAGATTCTTGTGGGTAATTCGGCAGCCATGGCGATTGCAGATCAAGGAAGCAATTGGCGCAGTATTTCGGAGTACGTAGAGCACGGCTCAAAGAAGACGTTGAGCGATATCGGTTTCGACTACTGCACGCTCCTACCAAGGCGATGGTGGCTGACGCTCTCACGAAACTAGCTTCTGCGGACGCTTTGAGAAAACTTCGCGCTGCAATGGCCAGGGATGCTACCTCGGCGACGGCTGCGGCAGCGAGACTGAGCGGCGCAAGCACGGACTCGAACCATAATGCGTCCTCGAGGAAGCCTCGAGTGAACCAGCGTGACCGGCAGTGGTGCTGAATACCGAGCGCCGCTCCTTGCGCCACAGTGCAGGGGGAGTTTGTACTACGATAGTTTGCCTCATCAGCCTTCGGAACCATCCCCGTTTGGTGAGAGCCCCGTTGGGGCCTAATTTGCCCAGTGCTTATGGGGACACGCCGGGGCGGACAAATCCTGCCCCCCTGCCACAGAGCAGAGTAGGATATGATTGGCATCAACACGGATACGCGGAGAGTAGAACGGACGCGTTAGGTAGGCAGCAGTGCAGCAGGTAGTGCAGTAATCATGTTGATGCCACTGGTACGTTCCACTGCCGCTTTGGCTCAAGACGCATGCTTTCCGCCACAGGGCGAAGAACGTGAGAAACCCAGCATTCTGGCAGCGCTGTCATAAAAAAAAACAAGCGTTCCCTTCACAACCGCAGTCTCCATACTCTTACTCTTCCCTGCTACCTCCATTCTCCACCCCAGGACGGCCAGTGGAAAACACTGTTATGCAGTATGGCCCAGTCCACCGTAGACCCCCCGAGAGATCAGATAACGTCGAGATGCCATTGGCTGTTTGGGGGGGTGGCCCCAGTCCTGCCCAGGATCAACACGCGAGGAACGGCCCCCCGCCGGATGCGGAGAGGGAGGAGGATCAGGGGCAGCTTGGTGGGAGGACGGGCGCAGGGGAGGACGCGTCGACCCCCAATCGCCCAAAGAAGAAGAAGAAGAAGAAGAGGAGGAGGAGGAGGAGGACGAGGAGGAGGAGGAGGAGGAGGAGGAGGAGGAGGAGGAGGAGGAGGAGGAGGAGGAGGGAGGAGGAGGGAGGAGGGGGCCCGCTAGCCCCACCCCGCCAGGGAGCGTGCGGGTGCGCTATCGGGGGCCTATCGCCGATGTGTTGGCGATGCATCGCCGACTCCAGCGCGATGCTTCCCCCCCGAGCCAGTCCCCCGTGAACGTTTCTCTTTCACAAGACCCCCACTATTGGACAGCCCACCAGAGGTGTCGGTTGTGGTTCCAGCGTGGGTCCCAAGGTGGGCATGAGGAGCGTGCCGAGTCCATGATCGGGCAGTGGCTCCGCGAAGGCGCGGGGGCTCCCATCGCGCCCACCAGCCTGGGCTTACCCCTCCGACCTGTTCGCCTCTTCCTCCTCTCCTTGGGATGGAAGGGGGGCGGAGTGGACCAGCGTCGGGGGATGCTAGGCTACGCGCCCGCACCGATCCTTGCCAGTCCGATCGTTGGCCACGGATCGGTGTACGCCTTCCGTGCGAGGCCCATAGGGCGTGAACGGCGATGCTCGACCCAGGATGGACTTCGCCAGTGTCGGTGTTAGTGCATGCTCGGCTTCCTCCCGCGGTGGGCGTACACTGTGGAGGTCCCGAGAGGGCGCGGGGGGCCATATCATTGTCTTGCCCGCGCGCGAAGATTATCCGGGTGACGGCCACCAAGAACGAGCAGGAGATCCAGGCTGCAAGGGAGGGCGAAGTTGGTTCAGCAAGAGGGACGAGGAACGATGAACAAGGGATGAGGGACGCGGTGGCAGCCGCGAGAGGGAGGAGAGATGGAGGAGGAAGAGGAGAAAACTTCATGAGCCGCATGCCATAGTCACTCACCGGAAAAATTGGCACGATTCTATGTCTGAAATGTGGCTTTCTCCACATAAGGTAGCTCTTAAGTCAACCGACTCCTGCGGAGGCCGTCGGACAAATCACGGCAAGAAGGCGGACTTCGCAGGCTGCAGGGAGACGTCTCGGCAGAGAAGCCCAGGGGGGCGCAGAAGCTGCAGAACTGAACAGAAGCTTTGCCAAGGGCTGGAAGAAACATAACAATCAGGAAGACGGTGGTGAGTCAGCGGCGGCGGAACGTGGATCCTTCCAGAGGGCGCTAAGCGCTCTGTCTCGGGTCGGACGAAGGGGGCGGATAGAGAAAGGGTGGTCACGAACTCTGCTGCAGGTGGCTGGTTTCGGCCCCGCCGCTGGGCTTTTTCCTCGATGGACTGGCGCCTCCGGCGCCTGGAGAGGCCGGGACAGCAAGCTGCTTGAGGTTCGCCCCCTCCCTCTTTGCTGTCTGCCCCCCCTGTCCGTCCGACCCGAGATGCGGCGGCGACGGCGAAACGTGGTGGGCCCTGACGGCGGGTTTGGGTGAGGAGGGCCGGGCGCTCTGTCTCTGGCTCGGCGGCGAGCCCGGGGGGGGGGCGGAGGGAGGAGGAGGAGAGGAGGAGGAGGAGGAGGAAGGAGGAGGAGGAGGAGGAGGAGGAGGAAGGAGGAGGATGAGGAGGAGGGGAGGGGGCGGGAGGGGGAGGAAGAGGAGGAGGAGGAAGAGGAGGAGAGGGCCGGCCTGCTCAGAAGGCGGCGGGGCTCGTCGGGAGCCCTCTCTGCCTCTGAGCGGTTCTCCGAGCAAGCTCGGGGCCTTCCGTGTCTGCTGAGGTGTCCCGCCCCCTCCGCGCTCCCCCCGGGGGGCTTGCCGCCGACGGGCTCCTCCTGCGCGCGAGCGGCGCGGCCCGGCCGCCTCTCGCCCTCCTCCTCCTCCTCCTCCTCCTTCTTCCTCCCTCTCCTCTCCTCCTCCTCCTCCTCCTCCTCCTCCTCCTCCTCCCTCCTCCTCATCATCATCATCATCATCATCATCATCATCACCATCACCATCACCATCACCATCACCATTCACCATCATCTTCATCACATCATCTTCATCATCTTCATCATCATCTTCATCATCATCATCATCATCATCATCATCATCATCATCATCATCATCATCATCATCCCTCTCCTCCTCCTCCTGCCCCCCCCCCTCCACCTCCTCCTCCTCCTCCCCCTCCTCCTCCTCCCCCCAGGGCTCGCCGCCGACTGGCTCCTCCTGCGCGCGAGCGGCGCGGCCCCGCCGCCCCTCGCCCGAGCCCCGGCTCCGACTCCTCCCCCCCCCCCCTGCGCGGAGGGTGCCGCTCCCCACGCCTGCCCGAGCGGGGCGGGTGGAGATGGAAGGGGGCCCAGACGTCCAGCGTCTTGTGAGGATCGGGGGTGGGTAGACAGACGTCGTACAGTCGGGGCCCTGAAGAAGGAACCCTTTTCGTTGGGGAGGGGCTCCGCGTTCCTTAAGTGTTTCGCAGTTTGCCTCAGGTTTTCCTTATGTTTCCGATCGGAAATCGAAGTTTAACTCATGGAAAAAAGGGGCCTCGTTCCTTGTTTTGGGTTCCTTAGGTCAAGCCCCCGACTGTACCCTGACACGTCGATTAGCGAATTGGCCGCTTGCGGTTCGCGAGAGGGCGTCGCGGCCGTCATTCTTGCGGGTCCAGGTCCGTCGGCTTCGGTCCTAGGCCGTTTTCACGAAAGGGTGGTTTGCTAAAGGGAGGTTTGTCCACCGCCGAAAGGAGAAATTCGGTCGGGAACTTTCGGATATCGTGTCGCCCCGCCGGTTCTGGCCCGCCATGCTGCGGCGCGACGCGCTGTGCACTTCCCAGTCCCCAGGCGTTAGAGGCCTCGAGTCTTTTCCAGCATCCCGCCCCGCGGAGCGGAGCGACACGTTATTCGCTCGCAAGGCATAGCGTGTCGCGGGGGCCGCCGCTGTGACACGCGAAGCAAACTCCCGACCGAAAGCGCCGCTTTTTCGTTGCTTCGGCCTCCAGGGGCCCTCGCCCGGCCCCAGACCCACCGCATCACGATCAGGCTGAAGACCTGGCCACAGGGAAAGGGTCGGGACTTCCAGGGACGCGGTATTGCCGGATCGTTGGGAAGGGAAGAGGAAGAGGAGGAAGAGGAGGAGGACTCCGCCCCCCCGGGACGAGACCAGTGGCGGGTTTTCGCCACAGTGATAACGACATGAGGCTCCAACAAGTGCCATCTGATCAAGAGTACAGCTCAATCACATCAGATACATCTTACGAGCATCTGCCCTATAGCCGAACAGCCAAGCAGCACGAGCAAGCTAGAGAGCGGGATGCGTGCTGCAAGAGTCGCACAGCATCCTGCTTGTGCCGGACCAGCGAGGCCGGCGCGTGCACAACGCGGCGCCGTGAGGCGTGGGCACGGCGGTCCCAGGCGTACGCCAGCAGGGAGGCGCCCAGAGTCGCAGGAAGAGGTCAGCAGGGGAGCGGCGGGGAGCCGGCCGGCCGAGGGAGGGAGACCCGGGGGCAGAGGTGGCGCCGCGCGGGGGCAGGGCCGAACGGAGGGGGGCAGCGGGGCGTCGCCTCCGGGCAGGAGTAGTGAAGGGCTGCCGCCCGAGATCGGCAACGGGTTCGTGCTCTCTCGGGGCGCGCCCCGCCAGAGCGATATCAAGGACGGAGTCGAAAATGCAATCAGTGTCGGCATGGAAGTCCCTGCAGAAAACTGTGCTGGAAGAGGAGAAGGAGGACAATTATACAAGGGAGGAATAGGAGGGTGAGGGTTGGTCCAACAAAGTGGAGAGGCTGATGGATGGGGAAGGGACCTTCTGTTTCTCGCGTCGCCTCTGTCGGAACTGGCTCAGCGAAGGGGTCAAGACCGGGCTTTTGGCACCGATTTCTGTCATCGTGCCGGCCTGTCGCGGTGTGGCCAGACGAGGAGGAGAAGGAGGAGGAACAGGAAGAAGAGGAGGAGGAGGAGGAGGAGGAGGAGGAGGAGGAAGAGGACGAGGAGAAAAGTAAGGCGGAGGCCGAGGAAGGAGGAGGGAGGAGGAGGAGGAGGAGGAGGAGGAGGAGGAGGAGGAGGAGGAGGAGGAGGAGGAATGAGAGGGATGAGAAGACGAGGGGAGGAGGACGAGGAGGCGAGGAGGAGAGAGGAGGAGGAGGATGAGGAAGAGTGAGTAGGAGGAGAGGGCGGAGGAGAGGAGGAGGAACGGAGGAGGAGAGAGGAGAGGAGGAGGAGGAGGAGAAGGAGGAGAGGAAGGAGGAGGAGGAGAGGAGGAGGAGGAGGGGGGAGGAGGAGAAGGGCGAGAGGTGGCGGGGCCGCGCCGCTCGCGCGCAGGAGGAGGAGGAAGAGGAGGAGGAGAAGGAGGAGGAGGAGGAGGAGGAGGAAGAAGAGGACGAGGAGGAGGAGGGAACGGAGGCGGAGGAGGAGGAGGAGGAGGAAGAGAAGTAGGAGGTGGAGGAGGAGGCGAAGGTGGAGGAGGAGGAGGATGAGGGTGAGGGTGTGGGTGAGGACGAGGATGTTGATGATGATGCTGATGGTGACTAGGCTGATGATGTTAATGATGCTGATGCTGGTGATGCTGATGAGGTTGATGATGATGATGCTGCTGATGCTGCTGCTGCTGATGATGGTAATGCTGATTAGGATGACTATTATGATGATGATGATGATGATGATGATGATGATGATGATGATGATGATGATGATACTGCTGCAGATGATGATGATGATGATGATCCTGCTGATGATGCTGCTGATTAGGATGACGAGGCGGAAGAGGGAGAGGAGGAGGAGGAGGATACTGTTGTTCATGAAGATGTTGGATGACGTTGATGATGATCATGACGATGCTGATGCTGATGATGATGATGATGATGCATATGCTGATGACGATGATGATGATGATGTTAATGATGATACTGATGATTCTGCTGCTGCTGATGATGATGAGGATGATGAAGAAGCTGCTGATAAGCATGAAGCTGACGATGATGTTGCTGATGATTATCATGATGGTGATGATGATGCTCACGATGATGATGATGATGATGATGATGATGATGATGATGATGATGATGATGTTGATGATAATGGTGATGATGATGGTGATGCTGATGTTGATACTGATGATGCTGATGCTGATGCTGATGCTGCTGATAATGTTGATGATGCTTGCGGTGATGATGCTGATGATGCTGATGATGATAATGCTGATGATGATGCTGCTGCTGATGCTGATTATGATGCTGATGCTGCTGATGATGCTGCTGCTCATGGTGATGATGATGATGATGATGATGATGATGATGATGATGATGATGATGATGATAGTGCTGATGCTGATAAAGATGGTGATGCTGATGCTGATGATGATGCTGCTGCTGAAGCTGATGCTGCTGATCATGATGATGATGAGGAGGCTGATGATGATGCTGATAACGATGATGCTGATGATGAGGATGAGGATTATGATGCTGCTGATGACGATGATGGTGTTGACGATGATGCTGATGATGTTGATGATGATGATGCTGATGCTGATGATGATGATGATGATGATGGTGGTGGTGGTGGTGGTGGTGGCGATGGTGGTGGTGGTGGTGATGATGCTGATGCTGCTGCTGATGATGCTGCTGATACTCAGGATGATGATGATGATGATGATGATGATGATGATGATGATGATGATTGGGACGACGATGATGATAATGATGATGATGATGATGATGATGATGATGATGATGATGATGAGGATGATGAGGCTGCTGATGCTGATGATGATGATGATGCTGATGATGATGATGATGATGCGGATGCTGCTGATGATGATGCTGCTGATGATGATGACACTGATGATGCTGATGAT